AAGAAACCTTAATGTAGTTGCATCAACTACTGGAGAATAGGTTTCTTCATAATCAATTCCCGGCATTTGAGAAAAACCTTGGGCAACAAGTCGGGCTTTATATCTAACGATTTCATTCTTTTCATTGCGTTTACGCACAAATACCCATTTAAAACCCACAGGTTTTACGCCTTTTGGTGTAGGGACTATCGGTCCAAAAACATCACGTTTTTCAAGTGATTTTAATTCAGCCTGAATAGCTTCATTCCATTTTGGCCAATCGTGTCATTTTCGACATTCTACAATTGATGTTGGCTCATTGTCATCGTTTTTATTCATAACATTTGTGGCAACGACATAGACAAATATCTCATTAATGTCAATATCTTTTCGATTCCATTGCATTCCAGTAGAAACGTAAATTATTGAAATTTCATAATTATCAACGTTTCTATCATTATCTGGAATATCTTCCTCATTTAAGGAAGTTGGATCATCATTTGAAATGTTTGTTTTGTCAATATCATTTTTATGCCAGTATTTTCAAATTGTTCATTTTCTTGTTCAGAAGTATGAACATCTTTGGCATCACAGATCAATCCTTTTAGTTTTTCTTGGTGTTATGTCTTTTGATCCAAGTGGCCTGTCATGCTTTTTGCGTATAGAACAATCATTTGCAAGAGATTTTTCAGAATTCTCTGCTGGGATTTCGATTATGGCAGGAACATTCATTGCAGGAATATGTGACTTTGTCACTTTCTTTGTATCTGTGAATGCATCAGGCAACTGATTTGCAACATTTTATAAATGGATTATCTTTTGCACATCTTGTTCACATATATTTGTTCTAGAATCAAGGTGCGATAATCATGTTGCATTCCATGTTATTTCTTTCGTACTTGGATCCAATTTATTAGTTTCTCCCCCTAAGGTTGGGAATACTGTCTCATTGAAATGACAGTCAGCGAACCGTGCGGTGAAGAAGTCACCAGTCATCGGTTCAAGATATTTGATTATTGAGGGAGATTCAAATCCAACATAAATTTCTAACCTTCTTTGAGGACCCATTTTTGTACGATGAGGTGGAACAATCGGAACATAAACAGCACAACCAAATATTTTTAAGTGTGCTAAGTTTGGCTCTTGTCCAGTAACTAATTGCATTGGGAAATATTCATGATATGCAGTCGGTCTAAGCCGAATTAAATTTGCTGCATGCAAAATAGCATGTCCCCAAGCTGATGAAGCTAAATTACACTTCATTAATAATGGTCTAGCGATGAATTGTAATCGTTTAATCAAAGATTCAGTAAGACCATTTTGTGTATGGACATGAGCAACAGGGTGCTCCATATCAATCCCAATCGACATACAATAGTTGTTAAATGATTGGGATGTAAATTCTCCTGCATTATCAAGTCAGATTCTCTTTATAGAATGATCCGGAAAATGAGCTCTTAATCGTATGATTTGAGCAAGGAGCTTAACAAATGCTAAATTTCTAGTCGATAAAAGACTAACATGTGACCAACGTGTTGAAGCATCAATCAACACCATAAAATATCGGAATGGTCCACATGGCGGGGCTATCGGCCCACAAATATCTCCTTGAATCCTTTCTAAAAATGCAGGTGATTCGGTTGCAATTTTGTTCATAGAGGGTCTGATGATCATTTTGCCAAGAGAACAGACCTTACAAGGAAAATCCCTTGATATTGGAACCCTTATATTCTTTGATGGGTGTCCAAGTGAAGTCTTAATGATTTTATGCATCATTACTTGGCTTGGGTGACCTAAACGGTCATGCCATAACATGAATGTTTTTTGATCATCTAACTTTGTGTTAGAAACCAAATTTATTTTGAATGGACTAATATATGTGAAATATAGTCCTGAGGAATAAGCTGACATTTTTTCACAAATATATTTAGTGCCAGATTTAGTTGTCGTAAGACAAAGATATTCCTTTTGGTTTTCATTCATGGTTTCATCTCCTGCATTACAATAGTTGCTTCATTGACGCATATCTGTAAAACTCAATAGATTTCTCCGCGATTTGCTGGAGTATAGAGCGTCATTTATAATTATTTTTGTCCCGTTAGGGAGCATCACATATGCTTTCCCAGAGCCTTCAGTGAGTTTCGCAACACCTAATATTGTATTGACTTTAGCTTCAACTAAAGTCATTTGAGAAAAATATATTTTATTTCTCAAAATGGTGTGCGTTGTAGCGCTGTCTATCAGACATAGCTCTTTATCATTTGAGTGATCCATATCTGCAGGAGATGATGAATTCTTGGAGAGCTTTTAAGCAGATTCGTGTGGATAACGTGTTGTGAAATGAAGAAGATGAAGACCAAATAAAGAGATAGATATATTATTAATAAGCTCGCAATTACTTCTTCTTAATATAACTGAGATTTTCTAAATTTCTAAGTGTCTTTACAAGTGATTGATTAAGCCCTATTTATACTAGTTGGGCTTAGTGATGAATCATCAAGGAGTAATTCTACACATCTTGCTGGCATCATTAAAACTTGCCATCTATCTATCTATGATTACAAGGATGGTAAGAAGCTTAGTGTCCTGATTACAAGGATGATGACAAGGATGAACAATTCACACTTGTCATTTCCTGGGTTTTACAACAAGTACGTTGTTTTTTTAAAAAAAAAAATTTGATACTACGTATATTTTTTGTGAAAATCCGTGCACAAATTAAAGAGTTAGATAAAAAATGAAAGAGCCATAACATTTCATAAATTACAGTTATATTAGGGTTGAGACCTCACGATTTTGTTTTGCTGGGTCCGCCACTGTAATGTATATTCTTACTTTATGGTTTTGAAAAATCAAATGGAAAACTAAGAAAATATTGAAAACAAAGGAAATTTGGAAAACATGTATTCAGATTCAAATTATGGAAAACAAGAAAATAAAAGAAAAAAGGGATAAGGGTCAGATAGGGCCTCGAAGTCTCGAACTCGAAAAAAAATGTCAAATAAGGTCATATTTCGGATGCTCTGTCTGGCCGACGCCATTTGGGGCGGTTCCCGATGGAATTTTTTGATGAAATTTTTTGAGCATCTTCCTCATTAAGTCTAGTTTACCCATACCAAATTTCAGCTAAAAACTCAACCGAGAAGGTAGTCAAATAAGTTTTTGAAGATAACTGTGAAGTTAAACAACGCCGTACATTTCGGAAAATTATTTGACTACCTTCCCGGTTGAATTTTTAGCTGAAATTTGGTATGGGTAATCTAGACTTAATGAGGAAGATGTTCAAAAAATTTCAACAAAAAATTCCATCGGGAACCGCCCCAAATGACGTCGGCCAGACAGAACATCCGAAATATGACCTTATTTGACATTTTTTTTCGAGTTCGAGGCCCTATCTGACCCTTATCCCAAGAAAAAATGATATATATATTACTAATAGAGTTTTTCCGGTTAAAAATATGACTAGTTATGTGTTTGGATAAAAATATGACTATCACTGTAAATTAGTCACTATAGTTATTTTATAATGGCAAGTCACAGTAGATGACGATTCACTAGATATGTTACTTTTTTAGAAATTTTTAAAACAAGTTATATTTTTGTCTAGAATATAATTTATTACTACCTCAGTCCTATAATGGTTGTCTCGTTTCAATTTTGCACAATTATAAATAAAGTGGTTAAAAAGTACTCGAGTAAAAGTCATGCTTAAGATTTGAGTGGAATGTAGTGAAATGATATGGACCACAAATTTTTTACCAAAAAGAAAAACATGACATCCATTTTGGGACATCCCAAAAACGAAAGTAAGATAAGCAAAATGAGACGGACGGGGAGAGTAATATTCATAGAAAAAGGCTAAAATAAAAACAGAATACAAAAAGAAAAAATGGCTCATCTATCACTACCGGACTTTTCATTTCCAAAAAGAAGACAACTTTTGCATTTTCCAATCATGTGACCCGTGTCCAACCAAGCAGCCCATCTTCTCCATCTAACATCATCGCATCTTCTCCATCGAACATCATCGTAGAGCCATCCACGCTCCATCCTCCCTCCAGCAAATTGAAGCATCCACCTAACATCATCGCACCACCATCACTCTAGGTCGTCGGCTCCACCTTCAAGTTGCCGCCTTTGTCCGCATTCCACATCGTCATCTCCGCCGGTATTCTATGCCCCAGGTGACTTGAAGGAGGAAGTGTGGCGGCTGGGTTGGGCGATTAGCACCTTCGTCATCATCCTTTTCTTCTTAATCTATTCAATTTTGGGGGTTTCATCACCATCTTTAACATTCCAGATCTGGTGGTGTAGCATCGGTTGCTGGTGGTGCAGATCTGGAATGGGGCTAGGTTTGGCAGTGTAAAGATGGCTGGGGAGAGGGCTAGGTAGGGACGGTGGTGGACGGAAGCCGGAGATGAACCCCAGAAATGGCAGAGGTGGCCGTTGGTTGTCGGCGAAATTGGACAGTGGTGGCAGTAGGAGATGTGCAAAGGGTGATGTGTCCAGTTCTTTACTATGGAGTGGCGACGGGTGGTGGCCGGCGGCAGTGGCCGGTGGTGGCGCTAGTGTTGATGTATAGTTGCTTGTGACGACAATCTCTGGTCGGAGGCGGCGGCATAGTCACTATTCGGGGCAACGCTGGTAGTCGCTGTGATCGGTGGGCAGTCACAATGGCTGATGGGCCAGTCACTGTGACGGTGGGGCAGTCATTGTGGACAGTGGGGCAGTCACTGTGGCTGACAGAGCAGTCACTATGGTTGCGGAGTCACTTTGGCCTGAGACACTTTGGCCGGAGTTACTTTGCACTGCAAGAGTTAATTGTGATGATGGTCACATTTTTGGAATCTCTACGAACTGATCACTTTTTAGTCTTTTGTCTTAATTTTAGTAATATCCAAGCTAAAAGACCTATATACAAGTACTACGGACTTATTATGATTTGGGCTTGAATTACAAGAACTGTCTATTTGAACATTGAACTACCACCTTTCAAAAAAAACATTGAACTACCAAACAATAGTTTGGGCTTTGAACATTGCCGCGAAGAGACTAAAGAGTAAACGGCGCCGTTAACCGTTTGCTTTTCTTCCCGTTACCTTGTCCTCCAAGATCTCTACAGCTAGAAAAGCCAGAGATCGGAAGAAACTGATATCAAACAGCTATGGCTAGATACGATAGAGCAATCACCGTCTTCTCTCCCGACGGCCATCTTTTCCAGGTGGAGTACGCCTTGGAAGCCGTACGAAAGGGTAACGCCGCTGTCGGGGTCCGAGGTACTGATACTGTCGTCCTCGGCGTCGAGAAGAAATCCACTCCCAAATTACAAGATTCCAGGTAGTCCTTTCAGTCGACGCTAGCCGGTATTATTCAATTTCATTGGCGTTTTTAGTTTAGGTTTGAGCATTTTTTTCTACTCTATACAAGATAGTGAGATACTGTAACGTTTGAGTAGCAGAGTAGTATGCCCATCCAAAATTAGGTCTATGGTTTTGAGTTTTATATTTTTCCATAAATAATATAGTTATCTGAACTAAAATGATGTTCAAGAATTTGGTGGCGCTAATGAAAATTGTGATGTATATCCATTTCTACTCACATTTAGTTGAATAACTAGCATAAAGAAAGCAAAATGTCAATTTTTGTTGGAAAGACTGGAACTCATGGAGTCATGGGTTAAATATTATTGAAGAATTTGTTGGTGTTAATGAACATTTTAATGTATCCATTTCCACTCACGCTTAGTTGAATAACTAGCATAAAGAAAGCAAATTTCATTGGTTTGAAAGACTGGAACACACGGAGTCATGGGTTTGCTTTCTCATGTTTTTTTGAGAAGCTAGCTTAATGCTTTGGTTGCCCTCAGTTTTAACTGAGTTCAGTTCAATTTAGAGAAGTTATAGTTGTGTTAAGTATTAACAAATGACATTATGCTCTATCTATAACTCCTATTATCTTGTCTATCCTTTTTGTTGTGCTTATTGTTTCATGTTGAAATAGTTGTCTGCTGTTTGGAAACTGGTTCTGATCATGCCTTTTGCATTTAACGTATTCAGATCGGTAAGAAAGATTGTGAGTCTAGACAATCACATTGCATTGGCTTGTGCTGGACTGAAAGCAGATGCACGTGTTCTTGTAAATAGGGCACGGATAGAGTGCCAGAGCCACAGGCTCACTGTGGAAGACCCTGTAACTGTTGAGTACATAACTCGCTATATCGCTGGACTTCAGCAAAAGTACACCCAAAGTGGCGGTGTGAGACCGTTCGGTCTTTCCACCTTGATTGTTGGTTTTGACCCATACACAGGTGTCCCGTCTCTTTACCAGACAGATCCATCTGGAACATTTTCATCATGGAAGGCCAATGCAACTGGGAGGAACTCCAACTCAATTCGGGAGTTTCTGGAGAAGAACTATAAGGATACATCTGGCCAGGAAACTGTGAAGCTAGCCATTCGTGCTTTACTCGAAGTAAGTTTCGTTTTTTATGCCACATATTTATTTGATTTGATCAGGGATTATGGATCTTCTTTATGGGTTACCTATGAAATTTGGAGTTCCATACGGCAATATATACCATATCAAGAAACTTTCTTAATGATCTCGATGAGTGGTACTGAACCCCCTCCTTCAAAAGAATGACATTGGTACATAGTTAAGTGGCATAGCTTGCTACTTCTTATAGAATTTCTGGATGTACTTTCTCCCACAAGAAAAAAGCATATTCCATTGAGGTACGTAGCTGAGGCTTATAAGTTATAACAACGTACCTATAGAATTTGGATTTAATATAGCAATATCTAGCATATCATGAAAATTTCTTGATAATCTAGATGATTGGTACTGAACCCTCCTTCAAAAGAATGGCATTGGTACTTAGTTAAGTGTGGCATAGCTTGCTACTTCTTTTAGAACTTCCGGAGGGAATTTCTCCCACAAGACAAAAGTCAATTCCATTGAGGGTACGTAGCTGAGGCTTATAACAATTTGCCTAATGGTTAGAGTTAGGGTTTGTTTAGTCATTCTATGTCTCTGATAGTCTACCAGCTCCTCCTTGGCTTGGATGGTTTGAAAGCATATTCTTATCCTCCATGTCAGGAGTTCGAAGCTGGTATTAGAGGAGGAGAAGGAGAAAAGCAGATGTCTCTGATAGTCTGTTACTCTGTTATGAATGCCAGAAATAGAGAGGAAAACATTCACAACAATACAGAAAGTAATCGTAGAAGAAGAAGAAGAAATGTTTAGAAGGAGAATGCGTTATTACTCAAGCTATGTCCATTCGCATCAATTACAGCTTCTTTTATACTACTCTTCATGACTAACCACCCAACCGTTATTAGTAAATGACATGACTGTAATAGACTTAACTACTTAAGCTATAATGAACATACAATTAGCTTTTAACAATATTTATACCAAAAAAATAAAAGAACGAAGGCTTAATTGTAACATTGTCCTCTTCTTTTTCTAAATCTTGTCTGCAAGCTTCTGTTCCCGGAAATTGATTGATTACATCACAGTCTTCCCAAGTAGCTTCATCTTGCTGTAAATGTTCCCACTTGATCAACCATTCCAGCCAGGATTCCAGCTGGTACTAACATCATATTACCCTCTTCAGACATTGCAGGAAATGTACGGGAAACAATGTCAGTCAATCTTACCCATTGCTTTAGCAATGAAACATAAAACACTGGATGCATCTTACATTCTTACTTACTTCTAGTAATGCCAACTTATACGCTACAACTCCCACTCTTTCTATCACTGTAAAGGGTCCACAATACTTGGGGCTCAACTTTCATAAAGTGGATTTCCTCATACTCATTTTCTATAGGATTAGAGCTTTAAATAAACCCAATCCCCTATTGCAAATTCTCTCTCCATTCTTCCTTTATATGTCCTTTCCTTCATTCTTTGCTTAAACAAATTGAGGTGGTATTTCAGTTTCTCTGAAATAAAGTTGTCATTGCTCCAGCTCATGTTCCACTCCTACTGCAGTTAACTCACCATAAGGACCAAGTTTTAGGGTTGGAGGTTTATACCCAAAGAGAGCCTCGAAAGGACTCATCCCAATGGAATTATGATGGCAATTGTTTTACCACCATTGTGCTAGAGGAAGCCAGTTACTCTAGTTCTTAGGATTCTGTGCACTCATACACTTGAGATAGTTTTTCAAACATTTGTTTACACTCTCTGTCTGCCCGTCAGTTTGTGGGTGATAAGATGTACTCAAATGATGTTTTACACCCATAGTTTTAAACAATTCAGTCCAAAATAAGCTAGTGAAAACCTTGTCTATGTCAGAAGTTATAGATTCTGCTAAACCATGAAATTTGCGGATATTATTAATAAAGAGTGATGCTATTTAGTAAGCAGTAAAGGGGTGGACTAAATTTACAAAATGAGCATATTTAGTATATCTATCCACCACTACCTGGATGGCATCATATCCATTAGATTTTGGGAGTTTCTCAATAAAGTCCATAGTAATATGTTGTCATTCTTGTTGTAGTACTGGCAAGGGTTGCAGCAATCCAGGATACTTTGAGTTTTCATGTTCGCATATCTGACATATAGGGCACAGTCTTACTACTTGTTGTACTGTTTGTTTCATATGTAATCACCAAAAGATAGTCATAACCCAACATTTTCCTCCTTTAATCTTCTGTTGTCCCAACATATAATTTGTTTTTATACCTCAACATTCCATTATAGTAAGAAAAGTAACTCATTATACATGTAGCAGCCAGTTTTTGTATTATAGTTTCTTCAGCTTCCTCATCCTCTTGATAGCTCAATATTAATTCCTCCTGCCATAGAGGTTTAATTGCAGACACAATGCTGCAATTTCCATCTCCCTCACCTTCTTTAATATCTCTTCTAGATAGGGAATCTGCTACTTTATTGTAATGACCCTTTTTATACTCAATTCTGTAATCATAACCTAATAACTTGGTTAAGTATTTATGATGGGTAGGAGTTGATACTCTCTGATCCTTTAAATACTTAAGGCTGATTTAGTCGGTCCTGATTACAAAAGGAGCATGCAGCAAGTAAGCTCTCCATTTTTCAATAGCTAAGACAATGTCTAAGAATTCTTTCTCATAAATGGATAATCTCTTATTCTTGGGTCCAAGTGCCTTGTTGATATAGGCCAAAGGATGATTCTCTTGCATAACATGCATCAGTCTCCACAATGAAGGTTTTTCAATTCTTCAAATTCCTCTTAGGTACCATGCTCCATTTAAACATCCATTTCTTTGTCAAATCAGCTAAAGGTTTGGCCTTGCTCCCATATTGGGAACAAAACTTTCGAAAGTACGCAGTCATGCCCAAAAAACCCCTCAGTGCTTTGAGAGAAGAAAGGATTGGTCATTCTAAGATACACTTGATTTTGTCTGTATCAACAGCCACTCCAGCAACACTGATGATGTGCCCCAAGTATTCTATTTGTGGAACTTCAAAAACACACTTGATTTTTTTCACAAAAAGAGTGTGTTGAAGTATCAATTCAAATACCTGTCTCAAATGTGTCTTGTGAGTCTCCGGTTACTGCTATATATAAAGATATCATTAAAGAAGATTAAAACAAATTTTCCCAAATATTCACTGAATTATACTGTTCATAAGAGCTTGAAAACCAGCAGGCGCATTGATTAATCCAAATGACATGACAGTAAACTCATATAACCCGCTAGCAGTAGTAAAAGCCGTCTTCTCAATATCTTCTGGCCTCATTCTCACTTGGTGATACCCTCCTCTTCGATCAATCTTAGAGAAAATAGTAGCTCCATGTAATTCATCCAATAAATCATCTATAAGAGGAATAGAGTAGTTATTCTTTATAGTGATTGAGTTGAGTTTTTTGTAGTCAACATAGAATCTCGAGGAAGCATCCTTTTTCTTAACCAACAACACTGGACTAGAATAAGAACTGAGGTTGTGCTGTATAATTCCATTGGGGTACGTAGCTGAGGCTTATAACAATTTGCCTAATGGTTAGAGTTAGGGTTTGTTTAGTCATTCTATGTCTCTGATAGTCGAATCTGATAGAAGTGGATGAGTTAACGCCAACACCTAATGCACTTCCCTATTTGCATTGAATAAAGAATGGAAAATGGAACATGTTACTTATCTGGTTTACTGAGGTTGGAAATCAGATTCTTTTCTCATATTTATCTTTTATTCTATTTTTTTCCATGATTTCTTAAGTGGAAAATAGGATTTCTCCTATGATCTACATGCAAATAGTCATCAACTGCCTCCCACAGCAGAGACGGTTGGCATTATATCTCTCATGCTTCATTTTTGGAATTTGACTATTGATGGTTGATAAAAATGTTTGTGGTCGTAAAATAAAAACAAATAAAAACTAGAGATAGAAAATAAAAAGGGGAGAATTGATGTTAACATGGCATTATTTGCTTAGTTAAAAAATTTTCCCTATGGCTCTTAGCCTCTTATCATATTAATGCTTTCTCCCACTCAGTTCAGCTAAAAATAGAGACACAATGTAAAAAAATTGAAAGCAATATCCGAACAAATAAATGGAAGCTCCACGCGAATTGTTGGAATCGGTATTTTCTTTTATCTTCTTTTCCTTTCATTTTCTTTTATTGCATCTGGATATAGTATTTCTTTGATATTTTCGTTTCTATACTTTTATCCATTTACGCTCTATAATAGTTTTAGTACTTAAATTTTTATTTCTAATGACACCGTACAACAACCAACATTACCTCAATGTTGCAAAGGCTTCCATCAACGGTGAGGTAAGGGGATCGGATGTAGGCAGCCTTACTCCTATACTAAAACGTAGAGATGTTGTTTCCGGATGACCCATGATGAAAATAGCGTAAAAATTGCATTATGAATCAAAATAGTTGACTTTAGACATTTTCCACACTTCCCTTCCAAGCATTCACAGAAAATTTTCCATTACATTTTAGGAAAAATTGATAGTAATAATCCCAACTATTGGCGGTCCGCTCATAATAATCCCAACTATTGATTATTCCAGAATAATCCCAACATTAAGGACCTTCTGCCAATAATGGTCCCTATGAATAAATTCTTGTGGTTTCTAAAGTGGATGAGATGAGATATAACAAGTAATCCCTATAAATAATCTCAACTTTTAATTATTACGCTTAATTTCTATGTAAAATTCACTTTTTTTAGAGGTAATATCTGGTCATGGACCATTATTGGCGGACAATCTATATAGTTGGGATTATACAAAAATAATCAATAGTTGGGATTATTTTCAGCGGACCGACAATAGTTGGGATTATTATTTTCAATTTTTCCTACATTTTATGTGGAAAATGTTTCCCTCCTCGAGGAATAAGATGTTAAAACTGCTCAGGTCTTCCTCACACAGTCACACCCCACCCAAACCTATGTGATTGACTAATGATCCTCTTGCAATTGCTATCTACTCCCAGTTGTCACCCACCACCACATGCACACACCAGTCCCATTGCATTAGAAATGGTCTTCCACCACTCACTTTGATGTTCCAGGCATTAAAGTGGTTCGCAACTGTTGCTGCATGGATTCCAAACATGCTCCCTCATAGCAAATTGTTTAGTTTTTTTGTGCTCTTGCTGATTACATTTATGGTTAGCTCTGAGCACAATCAAACTGTTATTTTGTTTGGTATTTGGGATATGGTTTTGTGTTGATGTATAAAAAAGAGTGGATGAAGAAAATGGATGCACTCTAGTCTTGTTCTTTTACTTTAGACAAATTATACACTTAAAATGTTTTTCTGCTTAGAAAATTCTTTTCCTGAACATAACTAAACAAGTTAATTTTATGACTTTATGGGCCACAAAGTGATACGGAATACTAGATTACTAGGTATGAAGTAGTTGGGGGAATTTTATTGGTGGAAGCCTAATATGAAGGAACGTGGGGAGGAAGATTGGAAGGGAAGAAAATTTGGAAAAAAAACTTAAAGATAAGCTCAAGGAAATAAATTGCTTAGACATCGGTCTCCCAATCATTTTTCGGGATCCAAACATCTTAATCTCTTTTTTGAATTCCACCATCGCTTGTTGGGACTTGGGAGGTGGCTGTCGTCGTTTCTAAATGGATGATAAGTATTACACGTTGACTTATCAGTTATTACTTATTACCCTGATCTAGTGCTTTATACCCCATCACCTGATCACCCCATTGTACGTGTATGATAGAGTTTGGTAGAAAACAAAGTCCATGGTTGAAAGATGAGAGCTAATGGTGGTCGTTGTTTTGAAAAAAAATGGATAAAATCTCTTTTTAAAACAAGTGCGGTGACACAATTTTAATAACATACTAGTAACTTTTAATGGTGACATGAAGCGCATCATTGTATAGATGAAGTTCTATACAAATTTCAAAAGTGCATCACCAAACCAGACCAATTCATATACTAAATCAAGATTGACCATAAAATAAAATTTCAATCTATTAACAAATATCCTAAATGTTCCGCATACTGAGATATTATACATTTAAGTGGTTATCTACATAATGTTTCGATAGTTTGTCAACTTTCTTTATATTGGGCATTTTTTTTGGAAAAGGATGTTTCACTAAAAAAATAGCAGTTTGATCATTTTTAACTTTGTCATCAAGTGAAATATTGTTTAGTAAACAGCGTTTGGCCTAAGCATTTTTGGACATAATTGTTGAAATAGAAACACTACACGTTTTGGGTTTGCGTTTTGAAATGGGCCATTTCTTAGTAATTGCTACGGCCAAACAACAAATTTTCAAACATCTTTTTGTAACCCGACACTTTTCGTTAGTCAAACCTGCTGGCTGAATGCGCTATTAATAGCCCGCTAATATGATCTGCTATCCGTTAAATGTCAAACAAACCCATTGTGATTTTCTTTTGAACAAACCTCTATTGTACTATTTTTCGATTTCTTACGACATTTCTCAAGCCAAGTCCTTAGGGCATCTCCAATGTGGAGATGGATTGCTCTAAGAATGCATTCATTATCAGCCAATGGACCCTTTATCTACAAATTTACTCTCCAATGCAAAAAATATGAGTCTGGTCAAGCTGACTTGGCAATCATAAAATAGACACGGGGTCATGCAAGAGGTCCATATGTAGAGTTTTCATTTAGAGAGTGTTTCTTGTTTAGCAATGGAGAGCATTTGGGATAGACCCTTTCATTTATTAGACAATTGGTCCACAATTGGGATAGACCCTTTCATTTATTAGACAATTGGTCCACAATTGGGATAGACCCACTTTATTTCATTGCCACGTCTTCAGCAATGCACTCCGCCCATTGGAGTTGCCCTTACAACATTTGGGTTTCACTTTGGATCACTTGAATCCAACGTCTATTTTGGACCACTTTAACAGCTCTATTTGTTTTCGCGTTAGTATTAATATTCATCTTAACCGCTTGATTTAATACTAAATCGTAGATCAAACACCACACATTCGCTTTCTCACTTTGAAAGTTGTGGTAAAAGTTTTAGAGACTAAATTGTTTTTTCTTCTGAAAAACTAATTCTGATTTTGATTCTACTTTTAAAAAAGAGTCAGAAAATAGCTACAATACATGTTAATGAAATATACGCCCTCCGACTAAAAGTGTTACACTTTCATATTTGGAATGTATTAAAAGTTTGCTACCTTTCCCCTTTTAGCAAGTTTTTTCTTTAAAAATACTCAAATACCCTTACATTTTCTATTTTTTATCTTCTGTTTCCTATTTTTTCACTCTCTCTTACGTTTTCTACACTATTCAGGGAGTGTTTGAATCTGATTCTTAAAACCGCTTCTGCTCCTTCAGGGAGCAGAAACAGAAGTTGGAGTGCAAAAGTCCTTGTGATACTCTAATTTATTCCTACGAAAAAAGCTGGGGGAGATCAGCTTCTGAAAACTGATTCAGATTCTGATATTGCTTTAAATAAGAAGAAGAAGCAGAATCGGTTCCAAACACCCCTCATTACTCCTACTATCACCCTTAAATACTAAAGGAGTATACAAGTATACAATATTGCTACAATATAAAAAAACTTTTACTCATTGTGAAGTGTACAATAAACCTATAACATTATCTTAAATAATGTGAAAAGCCTGTTGTGACAATTAAAATACACATTCATTTATCTTATCACGACCTGATCTTTGATTAATATTCTAAAAAGGTGGTTGAAAGCGGTGGAAGGAACATAGAAGTAGGTGTGATGACAAAGGAGCATGGACTGAGACAACTAGAGGAAGCAGAAATTGATGGCATTGTGGCTGAGATTGAGGCTGAGAAAGCTGCTGCGGAAGCTGCCAAGAAGGCTGGTCCTTCAAACCAAACCTAAGCTACTTACGCACCTCACAGGATTGTGATTTGCTTCAATCGCTCTCTGCCTTTCACCATGGCTGGACTTCTGAAGTGCGAAGGAAGCTTCATACTGACCCTGGAGTAATATTGTATTTTATATGCTCTATATCTCAAATTGGCCGGTTTAGTCAAACTGCACGAGGGAAAAAATCCAAAACATTCAAAACTTTCTAGTTTTGAAATTCCTGTAAATGGAAGAAAGACAACGTGAATGATAATTCCATTTCCTTATATGAAAACTGGCAAGACTTTAAGCCACTACAAGTCTACAACCAAATTACAAATCTACAATGTGCGCAAATTTTGTATGGACCGTAGTACTCTTTTTCTTGTAAAACTTCTTTGTTGTTTACTTTCCCCAGTTTAAGGAAATCTTACTACTTTTCTTTGAGGGATTCGTATGAACTCTGCCTTATTTTTTGAAGTGTCTTCTTTCCATATCATTCACATGTTATTCGTAAATCTATTAGAAATTTAATATTGGAGAATACAATTAAATTTAGAGATGTCAAATCATGAATTTTTTAAATATATTAATAATCAAATTTGTGTGTTGACAAATGTAAAAATGAAAGTGTTGCAACTAAAAGAAATGGAGTGTAGAGCGTGTTGTTTTCTTCATTAATAAAGTTTTACGTATGTTTTCTTTTGGACTGTTTTCAGTCCCAGACCAGACTTAAACAGACCAGACCGGACTTAAACAGACCAGACCAGACTTAAACAGACCAGACCAGATCAGACTTGGATAGTTATAAAATACACAGAGACCAGACGTTTACCAGTTCAGACCAGACCAAACCAGACTTAAACAGACTAGACCAGACCAGCAAATTTCAGTAAAAAAAAAAAACATCCTAAATACGGAGTATTACAATACTCCTCCAACCTGAAAGTGTTTGTCAAATTAACTCTTCTTAATCAATGACAATCAACTGTGACTAATGATATTTTTTAATATTAAATTATTTAGAATATGAAATTATATCAAAATGTTTCTTATTCAAGATATTTCCATAAAAGTATAAAATTATATAAAATTATACTTAGTAAATCATTGTCTAAAGTTTAACATCATTGACCAAGAAAATATAATATAATAAATCTTTTCAAGACATAGTATTAGGTGGGATTTTATTGAAGAGACAGTGACTTATACGGAGTATAGGACATAAATTGGATATTGGATAAAATGGGACTTATTATACGAGTATATAACGACTACATTGGTAATAACCCGATTGCGTTCAATTTTATATGAAATTTTCTATGACATGATAATTCGTGGGGACGTTGGTTCAATGTTAATGTAATTTTAGTCGAATGACTTTTGCCAATTGCCATGATTACGTTCAATATCAAATTTCTTATTCATTTTGTTTCAGTAACATCTTTTTAAATTATAATTATGCCCTTAAATAAGTAAAGAAACTTTGTAGAATTAAAATACTATCGTACATGTTTTATTCTAATAATTAATACTTCAGACTTCGTTAGATGGTCTCACTTAGTGGTGGACCGGTTCCGTGCTGACTGGCCTGTGGCCCGGCCCCGGCACTGTTTGGAACCGGCCCGGACCCGGTGGAAACCCGGGCCGGTTCCGGGCCCAAACCCAAACCCAAAAAGTCTGCCCAGGATCGGCTCGGAGCCCGGACCGGGACCGGTCGATGCCTAGACTCACTTATGTATTCTAATATGAGAATTCTAAGTCTACACTTTTTTTATGTACTTTTTATGTGTATGTCTTCTATTTTCTGTGTATACAAATAATTTATTTGAAAAAAATAGAAAATTGAGTATATACGAACACAGACAATGTGACAAATGTACAAAAAAGGTGAAAATAATAAAAATACCCCAAATTTTGAAGGGATGCGAGGTAAACACCCTAAACTTGCATATGTAATTCAAATATCCCAAACTTTCCGTATAAAAAGTTATTTTCGTATTAATTCATGTGTTTTTTCTTTCAAAAATGTAAATTTATGCTGTTAATTGCATAATTTAAAATATTTTGGAATTCATGAAGACACAATTAACATTCTAAACTTCCATTGCGAAATAAAAAATGTTACCCGAATCTATATAATTGCAACACTTTTAATTTACTATTTTAAGTTATGCAATTAACCCCATAAATGTAATTTTTTGAAAGAAATAATACATTAAAATGGTGTGAAAATAATATTTTATATAAAGTTTGGATATTTAAAGTACATATGCACGTTTGGGGTGTTTACCTCACACCTCTTCAAAATTTGAGTTATTTTTATTATTTTTCCGGGAAAACTGTCAATTTGCTTCTCGTACTTTCCTGGAAAAGCCAATAACGACCTCATATTTTAAAAAAGATCAATCAAATCCCTGAACTTTGTAAAAACGTTCAATTGAGTTCATTTGCAGGTTATTTGCCATGTCAGCAGGTCACCCGCTGACGTGGCACACATGTGATAGCCCAGTCAGCAATAATTTTGCTGACGTGGCACACACGTGGAAGTTCAGTCAGCCATTTGTTGATAACGTGGCACACACGTGGACCGCCATGTGTGCGCCACGTCAACGGGTGACCTGCTAACATGACAAGTAACCTGCAATTGTACTCAATTGAACATTTTACAAAATTCGGGGATTTAATTGATATTTTTAAAAGTACGAACACCTAATTGATTTTTTCATGAAAGTACGAGAATCAATGTTTCCCTTACTTTTCCCAACAAAAAATAAGTACTTTAAAAGCTTACCACAAAAAATGTGGACATTAAAAGCTTACCAATATTTGTAGAAGCAATATGGTAGAATTAAAGTGTGAAGCAATTATTCTTCCGATCTTACCGTGGTATATTACTGTACAGTTGACTTGCTCAGTACACGTAAGACCAACTTCAATTAACAACGACCACAATGGCACAATACACTTGCATTGAATTGTCTGTCGAATGATGACACGTATTTTTCTATTATGCTGTCCACCTCTTACTTCAGTGTTTATTTTAATAGGAGATTAAAGAAAATGAGATAACAATCTTGGTGAGATGTTGGATCGGGACAGGATGATCAAAGTTGAGTATATACTATCTATATCGGGAATTCGGGAGGGCAATCGGGCTGCCGATTTCTTGGCTGGCTTAGGTCATAGTTTACCTTTTGGTGTTCACTCTATAAGGCCGTTTGGCAACCATGATTTTCGGTTTATTAGGCTTATCAGCCAACTTTTTCACCAAACTTTCGCGCGTTGAATTGTGTAATAAGCAGAAAAAGCAAGGTTGAAGTTACTTTTCTAGTTGTATTGGCTGAAGTTACTGTAGATGACAATTTTAGCTATTTTTACATATAATTTTTTCTTTATTTTATTAATAAAATATATCTTAAAAATATCTTTTCTTATATGAGCAGAATCAGCCAATACAGCCACTTTAGCCAGAACTTCATAAACTTCAGCAAAATTAGCAAAAACAGCCGATTTTTGTGCTGCTACCAAACGAGCTCTATATGTATTGATGATCCTACTTTATCGCTCTTTCATTTTGTGTGATTTGTTGGGGGTGTCTCAACCTCTTGATTGTGAATGAAAGATAGGCAATGATGCGCATATGGCTTTACCCAAAAAAATGATATAAAACCTTTCAAAAAATGAGAAAACATATATAATAATAAGGATTTTTTTCTCTAATTTCTCTTTCCTTATAATATCTGTTTCTGAATAAAAGTCACACTTTTCCTTTTTGGATGATTCATAACAAAGTCACACTTTCTTATTTGGTAAACACATTTATATAAAAACAATACGAAATAGTACAAAACAATATAAAACAGTTAGAACTGTATACTCTACATTATTCATTTGATTTAGAAACGGAGGGAGCATGGTAGTATGAAAGAGGATGAGTAATAAAATAGGAAAGATAAAGAAAGAAAAAGGACATTTTAAAAAGAGAACGATACACTAAAAAAGCTCTCAAAAAAGAAACGTGTCAACAATTCATGAATAAAAAGAGCATGGAGTTTCTGTATTACAAAGGGTTACAAATTTGTTCGAACAAACCTCTCGTAAAGACTTTGGCAGCGGATTGCACAATCTTTGAGCCGTTTGGTAGCCTCTTTTTTGGGCTTATGAGGTTGAACACGTAATTTTTTATTTCGCACATTGAATTGTGTAATAATAAGAAAAAATAAGATTGAAGTTACTTTTCTGGTGTATTGACTGAAGTTGTTGTAGTGGATCATTTTAGCTATTTTTCATATAATTTTTTATTTTATTTGTTAGTAACAAATATTTTAGATATAATTTTTTCATGAATCATCAGAATCAGCCAATATAACCACTCCATCCAGAACTTCATAAATTATAGCAGAATCAGCCAATACAACCAATTTCAGTGTTATCAAACGGGTTCTTTATCTCGTTAGATGAATTCAATTTTTATTTCATTCATGAAACTCAGAAACACCATCATTTTCTCGACATAAAGCCAGTTTAGACATTTAGTAATCGTGTTTTCGGCTTATCAGGTTTATCAATCAATTTCTTTATCATACACGTAACTTTTGATTTCGTGCGCTGAATTGTGTAATAAAAAGTAAGATTAGAGTTAATTTTTTATAGTATCGTCTGAAATTAATGTAGATGACTATTTTTTTTATCAATTTTTACATATAATATTTTTCATAAATCGACAATATTAGCTAATTCAGTTAGAATTTTATAAATTTCAGCAAAATCAGCTCATTAAGTCGATTTTGATATGACCAAACGAACTCTTTACTATACCCTGATACCCATACGTCAATCACAATTTTACATTTCAATCACTTTATTACTAATTGTGCTAAAGTAAAACAACACAAACAGTAAAGGAAGTAGGTGCTCCCTCTATCCCTGAAAAACTTCCAACTTTTATTTTTCGTTCGTCCTAATAAAGATTCCACTTTTTTTTGTAAAGAACTTGTGGTTTGACATTTCTTATATGTTTCTCACTTTTCTTTACAAATTCTACACCACATACTAACTACTCCCTCTGTCCCTAAGAGCATCTCCAATGGGAGGGTGCATTGCATCTGATGTGGCATAGGAGAGAGATAGAGATAGAATAAATATTGGGATGAAGTGGTGTGTAGGGAAAAATGAAAAAGAGGAGAGAGATAGAGGTAAAAATGGACCAAGGTCTATGACAAGGTCCATATATGGACCTTACACGGGATTCGAGGAGGAAAAGTTGATGAAAAGTGGGTTAAAAGTGATATAAAAAAATGAAAATGAAAATAAATTGGGAAATATGTGGGTCCTACACATAAAATTTGTGAGATAAAAAATGGGACCCATGTGTAAGGGTGTGTAAGAGACCACACCCTTGCATTGGAGATGCTCTAAATGTTCTTCCGTAATACAAATGGCACACGGATTAAGAAAGTGAGAATTGTGTGGTGGAAAGTTGTGCAGAGGAGGG